CCGGTATGTGGCGAGATAAATTAGGCCATATTTCATTTAGTAGCCATAACTGCCTGGATTTCCAGGATTTTTTTTTTCCATACTTGTCTGGATTTCCAGATTCTGTTCCTCCATATACAATTGGAATTCCTGGGTATTTTCCCCATCATACAGTGCTGGAAATCCGATCTCATCAACAGGGGGGTGCAGGTAAAAACTGGAATGGCCCAATACATGTCAGGGGCGGATACAGGATTTTTTTTCATGGGGGGGGGCAAACCTTAAAATCGCCAGACTAAGTTAATGATTTTTTTATATTATACAAAAACAAATTGAATACATTTTTCAACGGGGTCCGGACCCTAAGACCCCCCCCCCCCCAGATCCACCACTGCATGTACAGGTAATACCATCGAGAGTGTAGGGACAAATTCTTGTGCAAATATTCTTTTCCGTCTTTACCTAGTTTGAACACTTTTTGTACACATATGTTTTTGTTTTTGTTTTTCTTTCTGAAAACCTGTTTTGGGGCACGATTACCAAGTTGCATAACATCCTTTTTTTGTTTGTGTTTGCAACACGACTTTCGCCATTTATATACTTACAAAATATTTTATTTCAATTAAAAAAAACTAGAGGCTGAATGCAAGTCTAGGTGAGAGTGACAGACTGGGAGTTATTGACCATGGCTTTTGTCGAGACTGACACGGTCTGTAAATTGCGCCCTCAAATTAGAAAAAGCTATTAGGAAAAGTCATTTAATCAAGGATATGGAATTTGACAGGTTGGGGTCCCGGGTTGAGATGTCGGGACTCGTAGGTTAATTCGGCATTTAACTGCGTCTTCATCTTAGCAAGGTACGTTATTTGACAACCTGGGGTGCCAGAAAGTTGATTGCTATCGAGAAATCTAGCAGTCGACAAAAGTGTTTACTTCCGGGTCAATTGAAAGACGTAGGTCGTTGATCCACACGAAGACGAAGGGTCCAATACCGGTAGTAGTGAATGCAAGTAACGTATTGGCCGTACGCACCATTTTCCTGACGCAGTAATTTCAGTAAGTTTTGAATGGTCACCCATGGATCACATGAACACTATAGAACGGCGTGGAGGAGCCATTACAACATGAGTCTGTTGACGATCTATCCGTGCAATAGTGTAGCTGATCGGACTGAAATTTGGTATTATATATTTTTGGGGTTTCAAAACGTGAATGATTAAATTTCTATATCTTGCACTACATTACCAAATTGTTCCAATTCTATAATTTCCATTATTTTGAGCAAGGATAAGTCCCTGTATCGGGACATGGTCTTTCATCCGTGTATTGACAACACGAATAGATCGTCAAGCCAGTGAGGTTGATGCCTCTATGATTATAAGTAGTTAAA